GCGGGTAGTTGTTGACATCTGTTTAGGGGAGTCTGTTCTAAGTTAGTAAACCAGCTTTCCAGAGTCAGTCGTTGAAAATAGTCAGTGCTGTAGGTTAGGCATTGCGCAGAGTCCCAGTCAATGTTGTGGTTGGTAAGTCGATGGTGTTCAGCAATGTGATTGCTGACATCACCTTTCCTCGTCGCCCGTCTGTGTTCAGTCAGTCTTGTTGTGAGGTTTCTGCCAGTCTCACCGATGTAGGAGGCTTGGCAGTCGGAACAATTGATCTTATAAATCGTTCCCTGTCTGTTCCTCGGTTCGTCTTTGTCTTTAACGTTGGTTAGTAACTGACGTAGTGTGGTGATAGGGTTTGTGGGCGACGCGTATATTGAAGAGTAGTAATATAATAATAATAATAATAATAATAATAATAATAATAATGAACGTTCTTAATACGCATTTAAGAATCTCAATGCGCTTACAATAATTTTTACTAAGGTTGAGATCGGACGTCAGCATTATCAGGCGCCTCTGGCAGCCGCTTTAGTCCATGTAACGACCTCACCTTTTCCCACCCATCCCACCCCAGGGGAGGACATCCATCACACAGTAATCTCGTGCGTGGGAAATTAACGTCTCCTACCCCTAACCCTGCAGGAGACGGGACCTCCATTTATTCGTCCCTATCCGAGAAGACTAGAATATCTAACCATTTCTTGATGTTGAGAAAGGAAGCATATTCTTCTCAGTTAATTTTAAGACCCTGAGTGTTGGTCCGGCCGGTATTGAACTCTCGACCTCCCGCACGGCAGTCCGGCGCTCTCCCAATTGAGCTAACCAGGCGGCCTTAGTTCCCAGCAAAGGAGTCCGTACTTCAGTGTCTTCTCTTCATCCTTTCTTGTCCGATTGTTAACCCACGGGCAGCTCATTTCCAGCATCACAACTCTCTTGCACATATGATTTACAATGCGTGCATCCACCCTATTGCATCTGACCTCTTTTTGATCAGCATATATAGGGACATCCCAGTAAGCTTTAACATTCTCTGACTCATGCACGGGCTTCGGCTTGTCGGGTGAGTACCAGGGTGGTATCTTGTCTATAAATCCCTCATCATACAACAGTTCGTAAAACAGCACCTTCAGTGCTGCGTTGTGTCTAGAGAGATACTTGCTCTGGGCCAGCGCACTTCATCCTGACAAGATATGCGCCACACTCTCTGGAGCCTTGCCGCATAATCTGCACCTCACCTCGCCTTCTCCGCTTGAGTGGGTCTTCTGACTCGTGTATACTCGCATTGGCAATAGCTGCTCTTATAGCTCGACGAGTCCAGCAATTGTGTGTGATAGGCAGTTCTTCCACTCTGTGAGCCACCAGAAACACCCATTGGCACTCAAACTCTCATCCTCCAGCCTAGTAGTCACTAGACGCCCTTGCCATCGTTGGTTTCTGATCTCATCCTTATTATTATTATTATTATTGTTATTATTATTATTATTATAACTTGTTATTAGTATACTGTTGTTAGGTTAGTGGAGGGTAGATAGGCAGTTGCTTAGCTATTGATCAGTGTATGTACATGTGTATTGGTATGTAGAAAAGAGTACAAGTTTACTTCAAACTTTTTCCTGTTTATGTGTTGTAAGTGACCTGTATGGTTTTGTTTTGTTTTGTTTTCAGGTGTTTTCCACTGCAGCTGATGGTCAAACTCAAGTTGAAATCAAAGTACACCAAGGAGAGCGTGAAATGGCCACTGATAATAAGCTCTTGGGACAGTTTCAACTGGTAAGAGGCAATGATCCATCAACTGTCTTAAGGAACAATGTTGTTGGCCCCAAAGTACTATTCTATAGATGAACATCTAATTTAGTAGGTACATGTAATTAATCAGCTTGACACAATGGTTTAAGGAACTACTTTTCTGCAACATGCAATTTTTCCAGAAATGAGATGAAAGCCACAAAATGATCATTTCTTACTGGTACATTGTAAGTAGGAAATGGAAACCAAATCGGATAACAAGGCAGCAGTCAAACTATACGGGATTTTGGTTGGGTCAGGAGAAAATTTAACTGATTTCCCCTTCTAAAGCGCTGTTATATTATTCTTAATGTTCCCCCTCCCCTACAGGGGTGCTTATTGGTATAGGAGCACCTATTGGTATAGGAGCACCTATTGGTATAGGAGCACTTATTGGTATAGGGGTGTTTCTTGGTATCGTGGTGCTCTTTAAAATGAGGGCACTAACTCAGTAGGGGTGCCTATTAGAATGAGGGCACTTATTGACAAAAACAATTTAAGGGGGACACTTTTTTAGAGAGGGGGCACTTGCTGGAAGGTGAACGCTAAACCAAATCATTACGGTACAGGGACAGTTCCAACTGGTATGTGGGCATGATTTAGCAGCCATCCCAAGGAACAATGTGGTCTTATATTCTGCTAATAGCAGGGACAGTTGCAGTGATAACGTCTGGTGTGAAATTTTTTCATGGCATTCAGGTTGGAATTCCTCCTGCTCCCCGTGGTGTACCTCAGGTAGAAGTGACCTTCGACATTGACGCTAATGGTATAGTGAATGTATCTGCCAGAGATAAAGGAACGGGCAGAGAACAACAAAGTAAGTTGCTGTTTTGTCATGTTGTAAATTTACAGTTAGAGAACGTGTAGTTTCAGTGAAATTAGTAGGTTGCGTCTTGGTCTCTTGTATTGATGGAGGCGTTTGCTGTTTGCAGTTGTCATCCAATCGTCTGGAGGACTGAGTAAAGATGAAATTGAAAACATGGTTAGAGAAGCGGAGAAACATGCTGACGCTGATAGACAAAAGAAGGTAAGTGAATTGGTAGTACTTGTAAATATGCAGCATAATCATAATAATGTTCGTTTTTGTGTGGTTGATAACAACATTTATTTTTCTCTATAATCGAGAACATTGTGCAAAATATTACTTTTTTCAAAAACATTTTATTAGTGCAGCATACATTGACATTTATTTGAAGAACTGACTTTTTTGGTTTGTTCTTAGGATTTAACAGAGGCAGTGAATCAAGCAGAAGGAATCATCCACGACACAGAAACAAAAATGGAAGAATTCAAAGATCAGCTGCCAAGTGATGAGGTAAACCTTGGTTTCATAGTAAAGACTGTGTCTTGAAGAGCAATTTTCAATTTAGTGTCCAAAGTAATCCAGGAGTTGGATTGGTTTTGTTTTACGTTGCTCCGTGATTGGTCCACGAACTGGCGCTTCTTTCTCAACCAATCAGATGCAAATCTAAACCAATCAAGAGTTGGTCGCCCGCGTTTTCCCGCGCTTTTAGCAGTTTGGTTGTTCTCATGGTTCTTGAAAGTATTTTACATTTTTCTGTTCGGCTCGTGTTTACTTTGGTTTTGAGTTAACAAAACTTGTTTTTTTTTTTCTTCTTCTTCTTTTTTAATTAATACAGACTGGTAAGCTGAAAGAAGAGATCAACAAAGTGCGTGAGGTGCTGGCTAGAAAAGACAGCGAAACAGCTGAGTCCATCCGACAAGCTTACAGCGAACTGCAACAGAAGTCACTCAAACTGTTTGAAATGGCTTACAAGAAGGTGCAGTAGTGATTTTATTGATGACGTGCGATTTGTTGAGGGAAAAAGAAGTTCAAAAAGAGTATAGAGAAACAGAAACGAAGGGACTGGTCATTCTTATTATCGTGGGGGAGGGGAGGGTTAGAGAAATTTGATTTTGTCAAAACCATGTGATTCCCTTCTCTCAGGCTTATGTGGTACTACCGACAAGTAAAACGCGATGCTCCAGCTGCGCTGTGTTTGCGCCTTTTTACTGTATGTCTCAGATATGAGCCAGTTCGAAGGAATTGAAAATGTGCACGCAGCTCTATCCAGATAGCATAGACAGATCGAAATGTGACAGGGGATGGATGCTAGGGTCGTCTATTTTATTTCACATGACCGTACTGTTGTTTGTTGTAGATGGCTTCCGAGAGGGAAGGTGGAGCCTCGTCTTCAGGTAACGAGCAAACCGGAGGGACTGGTGAAGAGGAGGAGAAGAAGAAAGAAGAGAACTAAATTATTCGAATTGTTTCAATGCACGATCTCTGCTGTGCAAGAATTTCCACTCAATCATAATTTGAAGTGAGCGTTTTGCTTTCCCGTTGGATTCTTGAGTGGCTAGAGATCATGGGCAACTTGAAAGATGACATCGTAACAAAGAGGAACTCGTTTCAAGCGAAGATTTTGTGTCAGGAATATTGATAACATGATGACATTTGCCGATCTTGCTTTTAAAACATTTGCGTGTTCTTATTAGAAATTGGGTGTAGTGGCAATATTGCGCCATGCTTTATTCACACGCACTTAGCTCAGTAGTTGGCGAAGTTTCTAAACGGAGTTTGTTGCATTCATGTAGTGAATCATTCACAAATTGTAAGTCAAGGGAGGGCCAGTTTTTAGGTCATCCTTTATTTTCAGAGCCTATATGCTGTGTTGTTGTGTTGGTGCCTATGTGCTAAGGTGGTCAACCTGCTCTCAGACAATTGGCGCGAGTGCATTTGGTGTTTCGCGAGGAAAACTACAATCCCCGCGTGCACCCTGTGAAGTTCCACTCGCGTAGATCACAGTGTCCACTCGGGCCAACAAATAAGGTGAAAAATAAATGCGCGCGCAGAGGAATCTCGATTTCGTGGGGCTCCCTTTAAGCAAGCGCGTCCATTAATTCGAGCATATTCATTTCGTTGTCTTTTGCTGCTTTGTGTTGCGTCTCTAAAAAAGCCGATATTGAGGGACATTTATTGTTCATGGCTCCTCTCTGCTTTTCTGGAAAATATAAAAAAGCTCCTTTTGACATTACGCTCGGTAAATAAGGCAATGCTTAAGTGAAAACAAAGATGTTTTTCATTTCCATTCTGGTGCCAGTTCTTCGGTGTCTGAAAGTCAGTTGACGATCCTGGTTGACTGTTGTTGGAACTCGACATGTCGGTGGCTTCTTCATAGCAGTCATTTGATTTTTATTAACTAGAGAAACGCAAGCGCAGGACACCTTAATATTTGTTTACGCTAGGTTCTCGTTCTGCTGTTCTCGGATCAGAAGGTCAAGTCGAGCTTGGGTAAAGTTTCTCCTGGAAGTTCTCCCTCGAGAAGAGAACTTTATAGAGTGGAAGAATCATGCAATGGAACAGTTTCCTTAGCACGTAGTTTAGACTTGCCATCAACGTTCTCGATTTCTCGACCGATAGCTAGTCGTGAATTTTTTACCAAATTTCAGAAGCTTGCGATTGTAGCAGATTGATATTCAGGACAGATTTGTGCCCCTGTTTTTATTCCAAGACTGTCCGTTATGTACGTGCAGGTAGTCTGCCCTTTTTTTGCAACCTTATCTAGTCTTCCTTCCCTTCCAACCCCCCTCCTTTTTCTCACCCCTCCCCTCCCCCCTTAACGATGCCGCATGAAAGCAGTGCGAAATTGTCATCACTCGCGTATCCTCTTCAATCACGAACTCGAGACTAGAGAGATGCGCATTCTGGTATATACGAGACCATATGGAATCAGAGAAGGATTATTGTGGTTAAACTTCAATCATTTATTTGTAACTATCAAATGTAAAACAGGAGTAAATGTAACCGTGTCTAAAGTCTTTCTCGTCGACTTTTGTGACTGCGAAACAAGAGCAGGACAGTTACCCCTTGGTGGGCGGTTGACGTCAGACAGACAAACGAGTAGATATTAAACGTCGCTTATTTTACTTGGCACGGGATCCTTTTGACGAAGACGGCGTACTCTGTTTGTGTTTCTCTCCAAACAATGAAGTTTTCCCTGTACTTGGCCCCAGTTATTTTCATTTGCTGTGGCTTTTGGACACGGGTGTATGGTAAGTAAATTATGGAGAGGTATTACTTTGGCTAGTCTAAGTATCTATTAAGATACCTCCAAAACTGCGACGAAGGGCGCAACGAATTCAGCTCCCTCATGCCTGATGATTCTGACGATTGATCCTTGTAATCGTGGATCAAAATAAACCTGCGAGAGTGATGAATGTTCACTTTGAATTAAGGTACTGCTGAGCAATTTCCAGCTGAGAAAAGCTTTTGCGACAATAGAATGCGGCAGAGTTGTAACACGGCTGATCGCATTCGGACGTGTTGTCTAAACAAGTTGCTACTCAAAGGATTTCCTCTCGGTTTTTTTAATTCCTTTTCACTTAGATTTGCTTTATTCCATGAATATGTTGCTACTGAAGCAAGGGATTACTTAAGTATTTTGAAATCGGCCTCCATCAGGTAGCCAAAAAACTAACAAAAACTAACTACGCACGATTGAATTCGCTCTCCAGCACCGTGACGCTTTACTAAATTGTTGTGAAATACCGGAACCGGAAGTTCTGCTCGGGCGAGTGAACCTATTCAGTTTTTCTCCCTGTCTACTTCAAACTTAAACGTATTCATAGTAAACATTGAGCCTTCAAAGAGAAACGCAAGGCGATGAAGGCGTCCGCTCTCGCGAGTTATACAATATTAGCCACCTTCGGCTCTTCTTTTTTTTTTTTTTCTCGCAGATATTCGGGGTTTGAATTCCATTTTTTGGCTAATTGACTTTCCTTGTGTTTTTTTCCTGCTCTCAAGGGATGAAATTTCAGAAGCGTTTTTTAACTGACCAATTTTCTCGTTCAGACGCGTTTTAATTCTCAAAGCCCTGAGCCTATTTGTGATCAGATATTGGAAGCGTTTCACTGTGACATAGTTAATCGAAGGGAAATTAACTATGATTACGACTTGCGTACAATAGCCTTCTGTTCAAAGTTCTCAGTTGAAAAGAGTACAAATTTTTTAAAAAAATTCCGGTGCAACGCTTGAGTATACAGCATTATTTTAAGGTCAAAATGAAGGCAAAAACTTCAATGAACACATCAACGACTCAGGAAATTAATTTTTCTCGTCTACAACATTCGTGTCTTTTGATTGACGAAAGTAAACAGTGCATAGGTCTTTAGATGCCTATTGATTGGTCGCGCTGAGAACAAACAATTTTTACACCTCGTAGGCATTCATTAACATTCCAAATTTTAAATTATTAACGGTTTTTGAGACGAAAGCGGGCTTTCAGACTTTGTTTGAACAGCCGCATCTCTCCCGATTCCTTGGAGGTCTACACTCTCGAAATGATCTCCTCTAAGGGAAATCTGATCACGTTATCAATGCTTCTGATTTTTACTGCACAAAGTCTCGGTGCTGTCTAACAGACGAGAGGTTTGTAAATGCTGTGCAGCATTTGATAGACAACAGACGTTATGAATCTATCGAAATATTATGCAAGTGCAAACGACTTTATGATCCTTGTGTTAGGAATTCGATGAATCACTCCTCTCAGTCAAGTTAGATCTGACGGTTTTAATTACGGAACGCAAGAATATGGTGAACCAAAAGCGATTTCAAAATAGCTACAGATTATTCCGTGAATAATCACGCTTAGGGACTGTTAGTATTGATGTAGCGGTCAATTTGTTTTCTTGGAGGGGGTGGTGGGGGGTGGTGAATTTCACAAGTATATTACCTTTGGGACAACAGCTCAAAAAGTCATATTCACTCACTTACAAAGAAAAAAGGCTTTCAGCTTCTCTGCTGTCAGCTAAGTCGTTGTTTTTCTTTTCTCAGGTTGCAGAGACAACAATCGACTCTGTCGTACCTGGGCCAATAATGGAGAATGCAGGAAAAATCCACGGTACATGAACGTTAACTGCAAATTAAGCTGCGGAGTATGCGCTCCTTCCATAGCTGGTAAGCCAAATTCAGTAAAGAAAATTATTCCATTTATATTAACATATTATATATAACTTATATTATACATAGGCTAGGGACCCAGCATGGGTCTGAGTGTCCCGTTCGTGCCCATTCCTTTTGGGCTTTAATTCTTTGTTTGTATATTTTCATTTTTGATCTTGCCTATTAAATCTTCACATACATATTCCAGGCGTTCAAAGGAAGCGCGGTTGTCGCAGAGTAGTGAATAAAACGTCCCTCGTTTTCGCTGTGTCGTTATCATCGCGCCGTTACTATTTAACAAATGATAAACACCACAGCATACACTATTGAGTTATGGTGCACGCAGGAGGTTGCTAAGCGCGAAAGAAGGGTAAGAGTCGCGCGAGGCGATAGCCGAGAGTTGACTCTAGCTTCTTGTGGTGTTTACCATTTGTTTTATAGCATAACATTGATACATTGTAGCAAAAGAGTTCCTTTTTTTTTTAACAAATCTTCCTTGACCAGAAAAAAAACAAGCGCGTGGAATCTATTGCATTTGATGACGTCAGCGTACACCCATGAGTAAATGGTGGACACCGAGTTGACCTATCAGAGCACGCGCTTTACTTTGGTTATGTTATAATTCGCTCTGTTCCAGTAACCGAGTGCCTGGAACAAGCCATAGATTTTAACTTCTAAAATTTTTAGTTACGACGTTCGATCGAAATAAAGTGAAACGCTTACTGATTACTCACCTGTATCGTCAATATCACTTTATCACAGCATGCTATGATGGCAATCGCTATTGCCGTGGCTGGACCCGAAGGGGAGAATGTCGCCGAAACCCCGCATACATGAAGATGTACTGCAAGAGAAGCTGTGGATGGTGCCGTGAGTTTTTCAAAAATTAAGCTCTAAGGACTGTGGATGTCTTTACGTTCTTGATTCCTCCTGTTTGGTTTTGAAACTCACTGTTTTCGATTGCAGCTGTAAATGGTAACTGGGGTTCCTGGGGTGCATTTTCTTCCTGCTCCAAGAGTTGCGGGACTGCTGGAACCATGAGCAGGAGACGGACATGTTCTAATCCTGCCCCTCGAAATGGGGGCCGTACCTGTACAGGTGCCTCTGTGAACTACTATCAATGCAACCGCACGCCTTGTAAAGGTAAGAACAGTGAATACGGTAGGACCCGCATTGAGCGGGAATGACTGCTTAATACAGGCTGACCGCTTAAGAGAAGTCCCACAAAATAAGGGTGTAATAATAATAATAAAAAAAATTAAAACACCATTTTATGTCACGCTTGACCACTCAATGTATAAAAACTCGCTCAAATGTAGTTCAAACATTGATTTTGGGATATTAACATGGATTCAATTTTAATTGAACGATTATACTTAGTTTTATTTGAGTGGTTCCGCTTTTAGCCGCACTGTTTTTTAGAGCGCCGGCGGGACCAACACTCAAGGTCTTAAAATAACTGAGGAGAATGAGCTACCTTTCTATGATATCAAGAAATGGATAGACATTCTAGTCTTCTCGGATAAGGACGAATAAACCGGAGGTCCCGTCTCTTGCATCTGTTAATTAGTTACTTTGGTTAGGCAGGGGACGTTAAAGAACCCACACTCGAGATTACTGTGATGTGGTCTGGCCTGTTTACTGGGAATTGGAGGGGAGGGGGCATCTTCAAAAAAGTTTCTTTTGATTGATTGTAAACTGCTGATGCAGTCCGGCCTAAGCCCCCCGAAAAGTGTTGTGATGCGCATTTGATCATATTTAAATGTTAATTTGCGCAATATAAATATTAATCATCATCATCAATACCGACCGTTCAACACAAGTAAAGGACAATATAAACGGACCATTGGGACTTAGTAAAGGGTGACCAAGACCGCTTAATAGAGATGACCGCTCACTAGAGGTCAAAATTACAGTAATTAAGGGGAAAGAAAGTCGGGACTTTGAAAACTGACCGCTAAATACAGGTTGACCGCATAATACGGTACCGCTTAATACGGGTTCGACTGTACTTTCTGGGGCTGTTCGAATCATGCATCAAAAATCAAGAGCAGTTCAAAGAAAATTTAACAATTTGATGTCTCAGTTTCGTCATTAAGCCATAACTTTCCGAACTAAAAATATGTCGCATGATTTATTGTGTTATTCCTACCCCTGGAAATATGCAACGGAAGCTTGTTGAGCCTCGGGACATTAGCCCTCATGCCTACCGGTTAGCTCAATGAATAGACCTCTGGACTGTTGTGCGGGAGGTCGAGGGTTCGAGCCCTGGCCGGACCAACACTCAAGGTCTTAAAATGATTGAGGAGAATATGCTACCTTTCTATAACATCAAGTAATGGTTAGATATTCCAGTCTTCTCGGATAGGGACGAATAAATGGAGGTCCCGTCTCCTACAGGGTTAGGGGTAGGAGACGTTAATTTCCCATGCACGAGATTACTGTGTGATGGATGTCCTCCCTTGGGGTGGGACGGCTGGGATTTATTGGGTGGACTACTCGCATGGTTCGCATATGTTCCGTTCTAGTCCTACCCTACTGCGGTAATGCAGTGAAAATGGTTAGAAAGAAAGTAGAAATGCAGTGAACTAATCGTACCCTTCAGAGTGAGGGACATGCGTGAGAAGGGCCCTCTGGCAATTACCTCTCCTGTCACATCTCACTTTGTGAAGATTTAAAGATTCGGGATTGCCACTCTATAGCTATATTTAGTTCTGCTTTTCTTAGTATTTGTCATATTCACATCTACTCTCAAAATTTCTCAGTACCAATCAACGGAAACTGGGGGGCTTGGCGCCAGTGGTCGACGTGTACAAAAACCTGCGGAGGGGGTGAAAAGAGCAGATCACGGACATGCTCTAATCCAGCCCCAAAAAATGGAGGACGTGCGTGTGCAGGGTCCTCTACTGAGTCCCAGGCTTGTAACACACTACCTTGCAAAGGTGAGTGGCTTCACTCAGTGTCTCTTTTGTTTTCTTTGTTGTTGTAGTTGTCGTTTTAGCTGGCATTGGAGTTTGTAAACCTCGCTGTTTCGCGGCGGGGTAAATTCTAGCCCGCATCCACTTTCACGTCTTTGAATAGTTTTTGAATCGAAGCTTTATTCCTTTAATTCTTGAATCCCTAAGAGTGTGTGGCTTCTAATTTTCCCTTACAGAGATCACATTTGAGTCTAAGGAAACGTTCATGAGAATAAAGAAAATGATCACAAACTTACGGAGCACCTGATTTCCAAACAAATTCTCCTTGTCACTACCTTAGGAAATGTAGAGAAAACAATGAGGAAAATATGAACAATGATGTTAGAATATGTGATTTAACTTGTGGTCTCGTTTGTAACCGTTGTTTGGTCTCGTCACGCAACAAATTGCGGAGAACAAGAGTTAGGTGAAGAAACAAAAGAGCAGCTGAAAAAGGAGATCTTTAAAAAAGCTATTTTAACTTGTCACTATTCAGTGCCAGTTGATGGAAAATGGGGAGTCTGGGGCAAATGGACCACTTGTTCGAAAACCTGTGGAGGCGGTTACATGTCAAGGAGCCGCACATGTAGCAACCCAGCCCCACAGAATGGGGGTCGTCCCTGTCAAGGACCCAGCTCTGAAACAGCTCGTTGTAATGATCGGAAATGTCCAGGTAAGAGGTGCATCGATTTGATTGTCATTCTGTGAGCTGACAGTTGCCCACCAATAGACTTGGGGAGAATTTTAGTATCACTGCAGTTCCCAATTAGTTTGCGTGGTCAGCGTGAAAAGCGGGGGAGTGGGAAACTTTTAGAATCTGGGAGGTTCTTATGCGCACAAATCGTGCTCAAATAAGGGACGGTCATTATTTAACGCGGGGGGGGATTCAGAGAGTTTGATTGTCTCAACCCCCCCCCCAAGGCTGTGTACTATACTATTGATCCCTCACTTACGCGGTCAATTTTCTATAGTTTCCCTGTTTACTCTTTTAGCGACGGAAGATCCCCCTCCGTCCCCCCTGAAAAACCATGTGATCCCCCAAAAATTCTCCGACCTACCCCCTGACAAGAAATAATAACTTTTCGCTAAGCTTTCCCTTTTTCTCTCCAACCAACTTTTATAGCAGTCTTCTCTCTACTTTTTTTAAGGATAAACGGGGAGGGCGCACGAGAGTTGCGCGCGGGGGACGATGGGAAGAGGACGTTGGGGATACCGTCTCTCTCATTCTCCTTGCGTTCTTCCCATCGTCATCTCAGTACTTGTTTCCTATGACCCCACAATCCTATATGAAAAATAAAGGATTGTCGACCTGGTACGAGTCATTACCCATTGGACACTAATTGTATTTCCTGCTGAAATAGACACTCTATAGCTATGTTCAAATGAGATGTCCAGAAGAGGAAAATATTTACACGTTTAAATTTGTCAACAACTGAACAAAAATTAGGATGGTATACATGTAGCTTGCCAGACTCCTTTTATTCTTTTTGTAAAAGTGTAAAGGATCTTTGACTCGGAATTCTGTTGGAGAGCGGAGCGCGGAATCCGAAGGTCGGAGGTCTGATTCCTCAAGGGGACTCGGAAAATTAATTTGTCCCACGCTCGTGACATGAAAAAAAAAAGACATCTTTATGTCTCTCAGAAGTTATCCGTTTTCCTAAGAATGAAAAGAGAACTTCTGTCCAGTCACAAACATTCTGGCCATACGCTTGTCAAGCGAGCAAGACTCGATGAAATTACTTTTAGATGGCTAGTTGAAGAGGTAAGTTCTAGACTTTAAAGACACACGCCTTGTCTTTGCCTCGCGCGTCGATATCAGCTTGTAAAGACTTCAAATTTTTGTGCAGTGGCGCACAATGTCTGTTACGCAACTTTCATAATTGCTGCGAGAAAGCTAATTATTTAAAGAGCAACGTTACGTTTCTATGGTACAATATTTGTTCGCCAACTTTTTTTTTTAAACAGTTTTCTCGAGCTTTCATGCAAAGTAAAGTACTTCAAATAGCGTTTGCCTATATCATGTGATTTTAAGCTTTTTAAGAAGGTCTCCTTGAAACTTGACATCTTTTATAAATTCCCTCTTTCCACTTGTCCAGTTCTGATGAAAGACAAGTTCCTGTCAAAGGGGAGTCAATTAAAACTAAAGTGATTGTGAATATAATCGAAAATCTTGTGATCCTTTGGCGGCGAGCTGTAATAATGTGATATTTCTCACTGTGTAGGCTGCCAGAGCCCTAAATCTATTCTTGTCCAAAGGTTGAACTTTTGCCAGCTCCTATGGCTAATGAGCACTTGTTTTAGCGCTAAGAATTCCAAAACTTTGCCCGGTTTCCTAATTATCTTTACGTTAACGACGTCATCGAAAATAAATACGTTACTTCGTTACTTCCCAAGTATATAAAACAACCACTTCACACAATTCCCCTGTTTCCGTCGAGCTTGAAAAGTTCCAGGATTTTTACGGCATTTGAATCCTTGACGCGCATGTTCTGGCATGAAATCAAATTCCTTTGTTTAGCACGCTGCGACACAAGGAGGATTTTTTTCGGTCAGTTTTCCATCTCTGCGCTTCTAGCTGAGTTCCTGAGGAGATGAAATGTTCGACCCGCACTGTTTGATTTGACCCACGCATTGGCAGCTCTGAGTTTTTCCCATTTCCCACTCTCCCAATATATTTCTTGGCTCAGCACAGAGTTGGTATTTTAGGTGTTGCCCAGTTCTTCCACGTGGTTTGCCAATTGCTCTAAGCAAGAATATATTTATCATTCACGGACCGAAGTTACTCGGAGCTAAGGACAAGAATTTACTTAAATTCCTTTTTGGCATACCGGCGTTGGCTGCCAACAGATTCCGCGTTTTCTAACCGCGTGTAAAAGTCGGTATCTTGATTACATCTTGTCACCGTTTCGTCTCGCCACAAACGATCACACAACGGGATCGACTGGTCCACAAAGGCAAGCGGAGAGACGTGAAAGAAAATCGAGTGGTTCTCCTGCGTTCCTTTGTACGTTTTCGTGGTCAGGATCAACTGCATCGAAACACCATCGACACATTTTCGAGCAACTGGCAACACAATTTCCAGGATGGCCTCAACTTTCCAGATCTTCATGGCTGTTTTCAGCGTTTTCAGCGTTTTCAATGTTTTCATTTTCACGTACAACGGCTGCAGTGCAACAAGGGTGAGTGTGGTTTTGGTTGTTTTCATGATTGATGATCTGTCTGTAAGCAAGATTAGAGCCTCAGTTCTCTAAAATTGCGTCGCACCCGTTCGATATTAAAATGGTTTCTCGCTGAGTCCCATAGTTTCACAAAATATTTTAACTCTTTGTGCCAAAGCAACTACCTGTTATTATACTGATCATACGTCAAAAGAGCAAAACAGCCACTAACTTCAGCTTCACAAATAGTTGTGCGGTAAAAACGGAAAGTTGTTATTAAGAGCCAGAAATAGTACTGACTTGAAATTTGGCCAAGTGAAAAAAGTGGAGAAAATCTGGTTTCTTTTAGTTTTCATGCTGCGTACTTTCACAGCTAGATGACGACAAAGATTAGTAGGTGGGAGTGTAGAATCTGACAAACCTGCATTGTGTAAAAAAAGAAAAAAAAGCACATTGGCCCATTACTACCTAAGTCTAGAAAGTTAACTCCAAATCTTCAATAGATCGATATTACTAAAACTTTATTCCAAATTCGCTGAGGTAACTATTGAGATAATTGTTTTCGGAATCACAAGCAAAATTTCCGCTAATTAACCAAAAAATGTTAAGTGGACCCTTTAGTTAGGAAGCGAACGATCGTTTATCGACTAATCTAATAATTTCAATGAACATTAACTATGCGACATAACAGAGTTAATGACCTGATTACTCTCTGGTAATGCTGTGCGGACCTTTGGAGAGGTTTGATATTGCGGTCAATGAGGGTTAGTCTTTAAAGCCACCGAAATGTTTAATCTCCGCAAAGTAATCTTTTTTTCTGAATATTATGAAAGGCGTCATTGTAAAGGTCAACAAACATGAACTGATCATAAAATGCACAGAGTATAATCGCCACAATTTTTTCTCTTTTAAGATACATCATTCGACTAATCTGATTGACAAAAGGCGCTCGACATGAAGTTTTAAAAATACCTCAATTATTCTTGGTTGCCCACGGTTCTGTAAAAAAAATGGATGGAATTGTCATTGCTCAAGTTTAGGTAAACACGCCATGCCGAGATAGTGTTAGAATAAAGACAGACAAATATTAACCTTTCCTCAGGAAGTCTGCAGCATGCTGATCAAAAACAATTTTAACATGTTTGGAAATAGTTCAGTCAGTTCTCAAACGGCGAAGCTGTCGGCGAGCAGAAAGCGCATTTTCCTTTTTAATCCTTTCACTGACAAGATCAAATCACTAATTTCTCTATACTGTCTACCATACAATTTTTATGATTTCAATTTGGGGAACTTGGTATTTGATCACATAATAATCCCCTCAATTAGTGATATTTTTTTCTATTCCCGTCACGTGTATGATTAATATTGTATTGAAAAGAAAATTCTGTCTTGATCACTCACGGGAATCATAAGCTG